ATAAAAAAAGACGAGAAATCAAGAAAAGAAAATTCACTCTTCAATCCTTTTTTTCCCACCTAATATACTATTACCCAATACTACACCTCACCCCCATTACCCTCTTTTTCTTTTGGTATCAAAAAAAAAATTCAATGGTCACAATCACTCCAACAACTCCACCAATTCCCCTCTCCCTCAACTCTATCTCAATTTCATCATCACACACTCACACACACAAGCCCTCTCTCTTGGATAAAAAAAAAATTCTCACACAATACACCCACACACAAGAACAAGCACAACTTTCTTTCCTCCTCTTAGACTCTACACTTGCACACCAACACAAACACACACATCACTCCATTCTTTCCTTCTCTCTAGGTTCACACATGGAACAAAAAAAAAAGGACCCAAGGGAGTAGAGGAAGAAAGTTGTTGCTACAGGAGCCATTGCCGCCATTGAGCTCATCCAACTCACAAGAAAGGATTGTAAAATTTTCAACTCTCTCTTTTCAATTTCTAATATAAATGGCATGCATCATGTAGTTTTCTTTTCACTTGATACTTATGCATATTTGGATGAAGCTTGAAGCCTGATAAATGAGTGTCTGGGTTTTTTCTTTGATTCATGTCTCATGATGTTAAGGGTGAGGTTTGGTGGGATCATCAGCCATACAAGAGTGATTTGGGGAAGAATCAGAGAAAAAAAAGAGAGAGAGAAAATTCTCTGGAAAAATAAGAGAAAACAGAGGCTGATGAACCAGCCCTATTCAAGCCTAAATATCTCTTTCATGACTCATCATTTTAGGGAGATTCTTTTGCTACACTTTCACAAGTCATCGAAGAGTAACTTTTCTGTTGAAGGTTTCTAAGGAAAACCACTCTAAAGCTGTTCAAATTCTTGTTCAAATCACCCATTTCTCAGCTCTTGAAATTCGAAGTTCTTCATCCCAACAGAGAGGAATTCCACGAATCTTGAATTTCAGCAATCCACCACTATCTAGTTCAACTTAAAACTCTTAGAGGAGTTGTAGATAACCTTGACTGATCAACTCTTTTCATTTTATATCATAGTTGACTAATTTCTTAGAATTTTCTCCCATTCTTGGTTGACAATAGTGATTTTTTTTGGGGATGTTTTGCCCTGAAATTTTACATGAGTCTTGTCGTTTTAAGCTTGTAAAGATGTAGAACAAGAGTTTCTGCAATTTGTTTGTTGAGTTATGTGAAGTAGTAGGAGGTTGAAAATGGGTTGTTCTTAAACTATTTCTTGTTTTGTGCAAGATATGATGATTTCGGGTTACTTTTGATGTTATAAGCATTTATAGAATGATGACATGAGTTGATTTATGTAAAGAGTTGGGCTATGAGGCCACAAGAAAAATTAACAAAGGATAGCAAAGAATTTGGAATCAACAAAAAAATTGGGGTAGAAAAAAAGAAACTGCAAAGTTCAGGGACTAAGAGTGCGTTTGATAAAATTGAAGTCTAAAAATTGAAGTTTGAAACCTGAAATCTGAAATATGAATCCATTAAATTATTGAATTGTTAAATATTAAATCTAATATATTTGAATGTGTGACAGCCCCACCTTCCCCTAAGGCGAACCAAAGGGTTCGGCGGGTCGCCTGCCCGGCTCTCACCGGGACTCAGTCGTTCACTACAGTCCTCAATTAAATTGCAATGTAAATCTCCAAATTCTCCAAAAATTACAAATCCTAAGCGAAGCGGAAACTAATTCCAAGCGTGGGACGTATACTTACATCCATTTCAATTCCAAGCAGTCACACCAGCCCAACTATTACATAAAATAAATCCAAAATAAATTGTACAATATATGCCATCCAGTCACGTGAATAAGTACTATAGCCTTTCCTTCGCCTTGAGCCCTGTGGAGGGGAATAAAACATTTTTGGGGTGAGCTAAAAGCTCAGTGAGTAACCAGTAAAATCAGTACTCAAATATATTTCAAGATAAAGCATTTCAATGATGTCATGATTCAGAGATCGAATGTACATTTATTGCTCTCGTGAGCCAGTGAAATCATTGCACTTAACATCCAACGCTCAAACAGATCCAGTAACAGTAAACAGTGAGAGAGGGGCCATTTGCTCCAGATGAACAGTACACAGAGGAGGAGACGTTGGTGTTCAGCACACGACTCCCCAAGAACTCATTAAAACCAAATAATGTCATGAAACACATGCAAGCACGCATGATATGCAATCGAGTAAATAATGCAGGAAACGGTTCATAAGTAACTTTAGAAACAATTTAGGGTCACTCACCTCCACCGCTCAGAAACCACCCATCATATATCATTACCTTGTCCGAATCTGAGCCCTAAATCACAAACTCAAAGCAATCATACATTCTCAAAGTTCGGACAGCATTTCCCCATAAATGCTTCATTTCCAACCTACAATATATTACCAAATCATCTCAAGTCAAATACAATCTCACATACAACACATGGCGATAAAACACCTTTCGGCGTAACAACCACAACTGAAGTTACACTTATCGGATTGAGGTGAACTTTACACCATTTTGAAGCTAAGACAAAGACCTACAACTTTTATGAAGACAACTCATTCCAGTTCTCACCCTAACTAGGTCGAATTTACCAAAACATCCCCAGATTTTCCAATTCAAAGTTTACTGTGGCAGTCCTAATTCATTTAGTCATATCTCAGCACACACAACTCCAAATCAGGTAATTCCAAAGCCATTTGAAAGCTAAGATACAAGGATATAATTCTTAAGAAAACATCAACAACCAAATCAGTAGTATTCCTGGTCAAAATAACCAATTACAGAAGCGGATTAGCAGGTTCGGACATAAACAGGGCATCAGGGGTATTTTGGTCTTTTCATAGGTTACGTTGCTCCGATTGAGCTGAAATTTTGTAGGCAACTATAAAACATCATCCTCTACAACTTTTACGTTTTGAGCTAAGGCCAATTCGGCCTCTAGCTAGGTGCTACAGTGCCGGCAGAATTGGGGAAAATGAAACCCTAATCTGGAAATTTTTGCATTCAAGTGCTAATCTTCCACTAAAACATCTCTTTAGCCATCACAAGTCATTAATCTAACAAAATCAAGAACAAAGCAAGGAGGCTAGACATGATACCTTGAAATATCAAGAAAGGTGATGGCTTAGAATTTTTCTTCTTCTAAAACTTCACCAAAAGCTTCTCTCAAACCTTACCTCAAGATTGATCGGTGTAGATTAGGATTTTTCGTTGGATTTTTCATGATTTAAGCAAGAGATCAAGGCTGAATGTTTTTTGTTTTCTCTCCCTTTTCTCTCTCAAAATTTTGTCCATCATGCTTACAAGAAGAAGAAATGATGAAAACAAAAGGTTTGGTCAAGATAAGAAGAAGAAATCATGGTCTTGGTCAAAGGTCCAACTTGCAATAGGGTCATGACACTTGGCACCTTCTTAAGTTAACACTTATCCTTTTGTCTCTCCAATAATAATCCATCTAAGCAACTTCTAATTATCTCTTAACACCTTATAAAATAATAATATTTAACACAAAAATCACTTAATCACCAAAATTTTATCACACTAGCGAGTCCCACGTCCAGTATAAGCTCTTAATTTCTCAAAACCTAACCGATACTAGAAAAATCATCTTAAACTATATTGACTCATAAAAATTTATCTGGGAAAATTTTCTAACAAAGAAAATGTAGAAAAGGCGGGCGATTAAAAAAAATAAACCCTAGAAACTTAGAAAATTTTCGGGTTCTGGCACTCATTCTTTCGGGGCGTCACAGAATGTATATCACATTCAGTGATAAAGTGAATAGTTTATTACTTATTTTTAAGAGCAAGTTTTGTCTAGAAAATTTAGTACCACTTAATTAATTCAGATATTTAATTTTAGATTGTCAAATAGTCGAATATATTAAAATTTGAATCCATTAAGTTTAAATGGTAGATTGAATTATTCAACAGGACCTAAGTATTAACAAATTTGTTATCTTTCTTTCTTCTCAATCTTTACACTTCGGGTTTGCGTGTATTAATCTTTTTTTTCGATATGATAGATTATCCTACGTTAGGAGGAGCGAGAGGACCTTAAAAGGTTCAAAAATAACTTGGAAGGTACTGAACCACCACCAAACCAGATGATCACTGCTTCAATTTTCGCTCTTTTTTCTTTGACGATGGCACAACTGTGGTGGCTAACATCAATTTTCTGCGATTAACACGAACTAGAGGATCCTTAATTCACACTACCACAAAATAAAATGAACTTTTATCCATAGCTAGTATTCTACATGAGTTCTATTCTGGGCAAAGCTAACATACTCAATTTCCCATCGCAGAGAACACTAGTGCCAGATTAACTAGCGGATTGTGATACATTTAGCAGTACAATATTATCAATTATTTCCTGACTTTCATTGTTTAAGATTCATGAGAAATTTACCTCCACTTCAATCCTTTTCCAATTTACCCAACTATCCAGAGTTAACAGATTCAGAAGTAGAACTCAGCCACCAAAAATAAAAAACAAATTAAAGAAAGCCATTCATGTCCAATTAACAAATGGCATCAAGGGTGGAATCGCATTGATTTTAGGTGGACTGCCTAAAAGCAATTCGTACCAAAAAATTCTGTTGATAACAATTCCATACACAATTTATAAAGTCGTTACCCTGATATTACAAGGAATGCTGCTCCTTGATTTTATAAATTCTCGTCCAACATATAATTACGCACTAAAATCTACTCATCATTGCTATATCCTTGAATTTGCAGCAGGAAACACAAAAGGATATTTCCTGTTCAAATTTTCAGTATAGCAAAAAGACGAGTACTTATTGTTTCATATGTAGATTCTAAATCTCTGTGGATGCATGTAACTCCAGTCAGGGAGGCTTGGTATATAGGGGTTTGGAAACATATTTTCAATAAGGCACGCTACCAACTCTCGATGTTCCTCATCATGTTTCGGGCGATATTCAAAGTGCAGCAGAAGAGTCCAAAAAGTTTCTCCTTCAGGCTTCAACTGTTTCCTTGATGCTTTGCTCAAGGGGAATGAATTCAAGACCTAAGTTTTTTGCCTTCTCCTTGGAAACCTGGTACGTCGGCACAAATGGCTCGTCATCAGCGCACCTACAAGGTTATTCAGCCGAAAAACATCAAAGGCTTGATAAAATAATAAATAGTGTTGAATTGGGGCAATAGTCAAGCAAAAGTTCGCTCATAGAAGTGATGTTTTTTTACTTCCTCATCAGTCTTTGATGAGCCAAATTAAATGAACAGCAGGTGATGAACAGGAAATTCATTGCCATTAGTACAGAATATGTACTGCTGTAAGCATAATGCTTGAATAAAGGTTAACGATACTCACACCCCTTTTTAGCTTGCACACCCTTCTAAAGTCTCTAGGCTATATTGAAAGGCATAGAAGCAAAAATACATAGTAGGGGATGCACAAGATGTTAAAAAGGGTGCGTGAATCTCATTAACCTTAAAGGAATTACTATAAGGCATGACATCTCATGTACAAATCATATGAAGAATGTTTATCCACTCAATGCAACATCAAATAAAGCACTAAAGGAATAAAATGCACTAAAGGATATGTATATATCTCACCATTTAGACATGATTCCAAGTAAGGTACGGTCACAAGGTGAAAAATCTGATTGCAATGAAGAAAGGTCAAAACTTGCACATCAACAATTTAAACTGACCATCCATCATTTCTTTTGCCACCTCAAAAATTTCCCTGATGTTCAATAACACATCTATCTGCTATCCTACCAATCAGGTCGCCAGGCATAGACGCTTTTCTTGGTTCAACAATTAGTAGAAAACCAGTATGCTAGCTTAGTGCATATGCAGATTGGTGTTCAAGGAATTCTGAATATTTGTGAATAACTAATGCATGCTCTTACCAGCGAGTGGGCAAAAACTATAATGATGTCATGGTAGTCATGTACACATTATCAATTCACAGGTTCTAGTAAGAATCTATCTAGACTAGAAGTCTTCATGAAAGGCAAAGTATTGAGCTCATTTCATCGTATTGATTTGGGAATGAATATGCACATTTAAGACAGAAAAGCCACAAGTTTAGGGAGAAGATCGCGCCAATAAAGAACAGGTCTCAGGAGTTAAGCAAGAGGAAATTTTAGAATGCAACCTACATCAGAGTAGGTTATCAAACAGCCAATTGCAAGCTAAATGAAAATTCCAACATGATCATGTGACCTGATATGCCAATCCAAAAGATTTTCTAATATCTAAAAGACATATCCGTAGAGCGAAGGTTCCAAGAACTAAACCAGAAATACGAGGATTAGATTTCTTAGTTGAAGTACTTAATAAATTGACTATCTAGTTACTGTTAACTTTCCTGAACGTTCTGAAACTTAATTCGATTTCAAATAGCAAAGCTTCAAAAACTTGTCAATTCAACAAACAGAACCCTTGACAAGAACTTCAAAACACAATTGGCGGTAAGTTCATGTATTTAAGCTTTTACGAAACACTGAACTTATCCAGATAATGCAAACAATGTTAATTGAAATACTTATCCACGGAAAAAAGTTTCCTAAAATATATTCTGCCATTAGTTGCAGACACCTGATGTATCACAGTTAGGAGTCCCAAACATGATTTATGCAAGGGGCCAAATCATGAAAGGCATAATAGATCCTGACAGAAAAATCTGAGACGCACACACATGGACATGCATGAAAATTCCAATATAATCCTATGTCACAAATGTAAATCTCTAAATGCACGGTCAAATCTAAATTACAGAGCTTGAACTTACTTTTGGAAGTTTTGAGGAAGGATAAATTTCACGCAAGATCTTCACAACTTCAGAGTAGTGTACCACTCTTTCGACCAGGCAGTATCTTCCACTAGCAGATGGATTTTCAAAAGCTAGTATATGTGCATTAGCAACATCTTTGACATGAACCCAGCCCATAGAAGAATTTGGAAATGTTTCTGCACCTGCATTCAGTATAGAAGAAAACAATCAACAAAACAGACTGATAAATTAAAAAAACTAAAGGAAGAAAGAAAATTACATGAAGTATTCAATGACAGTCAATACATGAATCAGTCTAAGATTAGAATGCACAGAATATCAATCACACAAAAGAAATGTTTCATATCACCATCTCTTCTCTCTCTACAAATGAACATAATCAAGCAAAGAGAAAAATAGAAGGAAAAACATTTGTTCAAAGCATACCCATGTCTATACTGATTACTTAATATTTCATGTATTTCAATACTTGATTAAGAAAGCATCAGGAATTCTAAACAATGTAAAACATCAGTACAAGGCAATTGTAAAACATCCCTTCAAGAAAACTAGCCAATTGAAACAAACTTTTCAAGAAACAAAAGAAGAACAAAATTTTTCAAACCAGAAAAGCAACAACAAATAAAGATCAACAAAATGAGCATATACACAGACATATATCATTTTAGAAACACCTTCTGCTGCGCACAAAAACATATTAGATTCTAGTTAACCTCCAAATGACCATGACATCTACCTTGGCAAACTCAACTTCATGAGAGAAGCAGAAAGCTCATGAAAGGCTTTGCAATATATGATACGGATACGGGTGTGCAATAAATAACTTCAGCCTTGGGTCAAGGATTCCTTTAATCAACATTGGTGGTCCGATGACAAGATCAAGATCCAAGAAGGTGAAGGAAGCTTTACGAGCCTTGATCATTCACCATACAAGCAAGGAGTAAGCTAAGTTTGAAGATTTGATGGACCATGAAGTTACCTTGTTCACTTGTACGTTTGAAGTGAAAGAATGATCTCATACTTGTTAGCTTAGTTGGTAGTTGCTTTAAGACTGCCTAGTTTAGTAGTTGTTAGTCGTTGAGTATTTTATTACTTATTGGGCCTTATCGGGAAGCCTTAAAGAGCTGGCTCTTTATACGGACCGCAACTCTATTCCAGGTTTATTTGGGCCGGAATTTGCCCTAGTTTTAGCCTATAAAAGGCACCTATTGTATGAGTGAGAGACAGAATATTTTACAACCAGAAATCGTGAGGAATTTTCCTTTCAAGTTCTTAATCGAACTTACTCTTGAATTCTTGAGTTCATTGCTTAGGATTCAAATCTGACTTTATCGATTAGTTTGTTCCCTAATCGTGGTGTCTCTTCATCCATCTTTATTTGCTTAAGGTTGCTGATTGCCTTTGTGTGTCAGAGGTCTTGAGTTCATGAGAACAATCGAGTTCAATTTCCATTGGGAGAAAAGGTCCAACTCTGATAATTACAAGGTTGGGAGGTTCTAGGAGGGTCTTCCCCTAGGGTTGCTCATCAGTTGGTAATCAGAGCATCAGGTTAATTCTCTTTCAATTGAAGTTGTTCATATCTTATTAGTTTGTGTCTTTTATCAAAAAAAAAAAAACTGTAGCGATACTGTTCATCGTTACTATTTCGAAATACTGTTCATCGTTACTGTAGCGTACTGTTCACGTTACTGTTCATCCCTTCTTTTGACTTCTTAAATGTGGGTTGTCTACATGATTTAATTGATTCAATCTCATGTTTACTTTTATCTTTTTGTGATTATTTCTTGATTAAAGTGATGCCTTGACTATTTTATTATTTTGGAGGGTAAATAAGTGGTTTCACTTCATTAAGGCATCAATTCAAGGGAGGTATAATTTCTTTTATCTTTTTTTTTGTCTCTCTTATGTGATTCAACGTGCTAAGTGAGAATTGCATGTCTAATTTGCTTTCCTTGCCCGTCTTTAGTTCCTTTATTTTATTTACTCTTGCTTTTATTAAGTTATTCTTTTAATGGGGTATGTGTACACCTCTTGGCTTGCAATAGATAGGACTTGGCGAGCAATTTGGTCCATTTTCCCCTTCCCCTTTTGTTTTAAGTTAGCAAATGTAATAGGTTCATTAGCTTGGTTATTTGCCTTTGTTGCTATGTGTTAATTTGCTTTATTAGGTTCTTGCATCTAGTCGAGCATGCTAAGTGTTATGTGCTACGTGTTTATGAGTGTTTGGCATGTCTACTTGCTTTCTATATTCGTAGATGAATGTGATGGATGAATGTACGTCACCACACTAGTCCAACGCTAGTTGTGGCCCCTTTTCCCGTCACCACACTAGTCCAATGCTAGTTGTGGCTCATTGTCCATTTTCACTAGTCCAACGCTAGTAGGAATTCATAGAAAGGGCTAGTCCAACGTTAGACCCATAGGCCGTCCCCTCTCGATAGTACATTCTTGCATGTTCACTACATTTCATGCATTTTTTCTTAGTTTTTGTCATTTGGCATGCTCCTGTAGCCCTGTTCCCCTTATTTTAGGTTTTCGCACCTTCATGCTAGTTGTAGGGTACATTTGCTTGAGAGTCCCCTTTCGATAAGGGAAATGAGCGAGTGTGGCTCCAAAATAGCCTTAGCACGCTAGCTCTCCTTTCTAATCAAAGGGAAAATTAAAGTCACAAAGTTAGGGGTCCCCATTCCCTTCTTGATGCATTCCTCTAGGGTTCATGCATTTTATTCATTCTCTATCATATATATTTCTACTTTATATTCTATCCTTTTTTCCACATTCTCACTTCACACAACTTTAATTTTTGCACGTTTGCACTGAACTACTCACATTTTATATAATATCACTCGCACACATGCACTTTATGTATAATACATTTTCACATTATCATTTTTTACTTTGCAAATCCACTCGCACACTTCCACTTACACCCTATTGTTTTTATCACTTTTTCTCACTTCACACAAACTCACATTTTCACATGGCATTGCATTCATTTCACTTATTTTTACGTCATTTAGGGTTATGAGTGACCTCTCCAAAGGATCATTAATGGGCATCACAACTAATGTGATTGCCACCACTCGAGCTTTGAAGATAAATTTCCCCCCGATGTCCCCCTAGGTCTAGGGTTGCATTCATATAGTACGTCCAAATGTGATAAATCTTTTTGATTAAAAACGAGAAAATTTTTGACTAAATCACGCAACTAGCCTTGGCTAGGTCGAAGGGATGCCTTGGATTTTATCCTTGCCTTCCCCTTCGTCAAATGTGACTCCCGAACCTTTTTCTTTGATTTTTACGTGGACTAGGAGTCGTTTAAAAAGGGTTTCTCATTACTTTTTCCTATTTTTTAAATTCATTTTTTTAGGTGACTTGGTACACCTTAACTCTATACCAAGTGGCGACTCCGTTTTTCATTTAAAAAACCCTTTTTAAAACTACATTTTGGGTCAAATCGTCGCATTTTCAAGTCCCATTGAGACCCATGTCTTTCATTTTCTTTTTAATCAAACAATTCATTTTCCTAAACTAAATTCTTTTATTTTTCTTGTAAAAAATGGGGCGCGACACAAACAATTATGGAGGGAGCCGGCCAACAGTTCCTGCCAGAGTGTATGCATTAGATGACCAACCTGTGCTCAATTCCTCGGAAGTTGTGGAAGGTACACTTCCGATTTTTCATCGATTAGCTAAAGTGTTAATTGACCCTGGTGCAGCGCATTCATTCGTAAATCCATCTTTCATGTCCGGAATAGAGGTGCAACCTGTTAGATTACCCTATGATCTTGAAATTAGGACACCAATGGGTAATAAGAAGGTAATCACTAGCTTGACCTATAAGAATTGCGAATTCTGGATCGGAGAGCGAAAAATGCTAGTGGATTTGATCAGTTTGGACATAAAAGGTTACGATGTTATCATAGGAATGGATTTCCTAGGTCACCATCATGCTAAGCTTGATTGCCGAGAAAAAGTTGTGGAATTTTGTATACCTGGAGAAGCAACTCTGAGGTTAGATGTTAAAGGTAGGTTAGCATCTTCTGCTATGGTCTCGGGAATACGGGCAAGGAAAATGTTAACTAATGGAGCCCAAGGTTTCCTAGCCTTCTTGATCAATACCTCCAGTGATCAAGTAAAATTAGAGGATGTACCCGTGGTACGGGAATTTCCGGATGTTTTTCCCGAAGAATTAAAGACTTTACCGCCAGAAAGAGATGTGGAGTTCAAAATCGATTTGGTGCCTGGAACGGCTCCGATCTCTAAGACCCCGTACCGAATGGCTCCTGCCGAGCTTAAGGAGCTGAAGATCCAATTACAAGACCTGTTGGAGAAAGGTTTTGTGAAGGAAAGTGACTCACCATGGGGAGCGCCCGTTCTATTTGTCAAGAAAAAGGACGGAAACTTGAGGTTGTGCATTGACTACCGAGGGTTAAATGAGGTTACCATTAAGAATAAATACCCTCTACCGTTGATTGATAGCTTATTCGACCAACTGCAAGGATCAGTGGTCTTCTCTAAGTTGGACTTAAGGCAAGGGTATTACCAGCTGAAAATTAAGAAGGAAGATATACCCAAGACTGCTTTCAGTACAAGATATGGACATTTCGAGTTCGCAGTCATGCCTTTTGGTTTAACTAATGCACCAGCTGTATTTATGGACTTAATGCAGAGGATCTTTAAGAAATACCTGGACCAATTTGTAGTAGTTTTTATAGATGATATTTTGATATACTCCAAGACTCAAGAGGAACATGTCAAGCACTTTGTGACGACCCCACCTTCCCCTAAGGCGAACCAGAGGGTTCGGCGGGCCGCCTGCCCGGCTCTCGCCGGGACTCAGTCGCTCACTACATTCCTCAAACAGATTACAATATAAATCTCAAAATTACATCAAATTCTCCAATGATTACATATTACAAATGCAGCGGAAACTGATTCCAATCGTGGAACGTATACTTACATCCATATCAATTTCAAATATTTATACAAGACCAACTCGTACATAAAATAGATCCAAACTTAAACTATACACGATATAAGCCATCCAGTCACGTGAATAAGCACTCCAAGCTTTTCTTCGCCTTGAGCCCTGTGGGGGGGAAATAAAACATTTTTGGGGTGAGCTAGAAGCTCAGCGAGTAACCATTAAAATCAGTAATCAAATCGGTTTCACAATAGTTCATTTCAATGATGTCATATAGCAATGATGTCATAAATCAAATGATAAATCCGGAAACAACTACAACATTTGCAAAACAGTAAATATGGATTATCAATAATTCAAGGAACATTTACAATGGAAAGCGATAGTAACATTCATGAAAGGATACATTCATTCTCCTGACATTTCCCCGCTCATTTGGTCATTCATTTCATTTCATTCACCCCGTCCCTGGCTTTTGGCCAGACTCCACCAACCTACATAGG